CATAACACTCCCTCAAGTAAACCCCTCGAAGTGATCTGCTGCTACATGATACCCAAGGTCCTACTGGTTTATAAGTGCTCTACGTTGTAGGATCTTGGGTGGGTGCAGTCTCGCAGACTACAGTTACTTTATTGTTCTGAGCCGCAGGCTGTTGATACCCGTCATTCGATTGTCTCCCTTAGAAGCGTTTCACTTTGTCAGACTCCGAACCATATGCCTCGCCTGGATTGTCCGAGTGTGAGCGCCGAAACCCTAAACCTTAAACCTAAGCCCTCAGGACTAAGAACGAAGTCATGGAGACCCTAATTCCCACACCAACCCTACTTGGAGGATCATGGGACTAAGTAAGTAGGGTTATCAGTACCTCAATTGGGGTTATAAGTAGATATAACTATATAGTTATCTTACTTATAACCCTACTTACTAAGTCCCATAATCCTCTAAGTAGAAAGCGGGTGCCGCTTCGACCTTCCCGACAACTCCTCTTCCCTCAGACTTGCACTGCACGGCCCGTAGTTTCCGGGCGGCCCTGGCTTCGTGTCCGCTGATCCCTACTTGGAGGTTCATGGGTAGTTATCAGTAGGGGGGATGAATAGGGTTCTTTTAAAGGGATCTACAGTTATAGTGTGTTTAGGGATTAAGGTTTAGGGTGGTTGTAAGTAGGGTTGGAAGTAGGGTACGGGTAACTACACGTACGACCCACATCAGGGGACTATTAACCCCACTTATATTTACCTTAAACCCTAATCCTTACAAGCCCTAAAGAACCCTTAAGCCCCTATATAACCCCACTTATAACTACCCATGGACCTCGAAGGAAGCCCAAAGCCCCTGAACCCTCAACACTGGGAGCCTCTGCCTTGATACCTTGGTTTTTGAAGTCATTTAGGGTTTAGGGGTTTAGGGTTTGGGGTTTAGGGTTTGGGGGTTTAGGGTTTAGGGTTTTGCCCTTTCGCGCTCTTCTTCGCTTCAGGGTTGGAAATCTGAGGGGGGGTTTTAGGGTTTAGGGGGGTCCTCTGCGTCTGTGGAGGGTGGGAGGTGGACATCTTGCCTCATATTCGTCAACTAGGTATGGCTTTGGTCATTTTATGTTTTCCCCTATTGGGCTTAAGAAGATTATTTACTAAAATTTTTCAAAGGCTTTAAAAGCCCCACCTAGTCAATGTCCACAGTGTTCACAACAGCTTCTCAACCTCTTGCAAAGCCGTAAGGCTGTAGAGCAAGGTACTGGGGTTTAAAGACACCAAGAGACAAGTGGATGTGGCTAGGGGTTTTGATATATTGGATTCAAGAACAAGCTTGAAGTGCACACGCTAAAGCACTAAACGGCTAAACCCTTACAAATCTAGGTCTCTTAGCAACAAGGTGTCTGGGCATTTGGCCGATTTACCGGATGTGCCTCTCCTGAATGGCCGTTTGATGTGTTCTTGGGGTTAGGGTTTAGAGGTTTATATAGGTTTTGTGATGCCTGTTTCAACATCTGCGGAGCGTCATGTAGACAATGCGGGTAGATCCGAGGTTGCTGGCTCGGGAGGTTGGTTGAAGTTTCTGGAAGACTGTTCAGGGTTTAGGGATCGTAGGGCATTGGGTCCATCTTCAGGTGTCTTTGTCAGGCAATAGTAGCTTAGGTTTCAGGTCCAGCATGAGATGATGTTGAACCTTTTTACATCAGAAATCGCAAGCCTTCCAGCTTGTTTGGTTGCACACACTGGCGTGGTAACCCCGGACCCCCCAAAGATTGAAGCACCAAACCCATGTCCCTAGTGGTAGCATTGATTCAATCTTTTCGGATTGCGGTTGCCAGCACAGTGATGCTTGGCAGCTTGAATTCCATCACCACCTGAAGGATAGACATGCGAAGTTAATGCAGTCGTAGTAATAGTGAGTGTCATGCTCTCAGCAGAATCAAGGCTTTCTGATTTGACCTACGTTGGAGAGGTCTTAGCCCGAAACATAGACACGAAAAGCTTAAACTCCCTAAACTCTCATAAGCCCTTCATAACCCCAAACTCTCAGAAGCCCTTTATAACCCTAAACTCTCATAAGCCCTTAGAAGCCTAAACTCTCAGAAGCCCCTTTTTAAACCTATATAAACTCTCAGAAGCCCTCGAAGCCTCAACCTTCAACCGAACTTCAACCCCGCGAACTCCTAACCCTGAACACTTAAACTAAACCCCTCAACTTACAGCCACTAGATCCCCTGCTTTCTGAGGCGCCTTTGTCTGCAGGCGCGACAGGAGGGAGTCCTAAGTTAAGGCGGGCGCGCGCCAAAAAAAAGCCACCTGAAGACAAAACCTACAGAGGAGCGGCCGAGGGAAGTGTACAGAAGTGTGGCAGGCGCAGCAAAATCGCATGTTTTGACCTTCCCCAGCGGTCGCGTGGCAGAAGCAAAATCGGGACAAGATTTCGTGTCCAGTTTTCAGGGAGTCCAAGGCGACCATCAGTGCTATCATCATCGAGGTCAACATCGTTATCATCCTCACAGTTACCATCGATATCACAATCATCTTCATCATTCTCATTATCATCGTTATCATCATCGTCATCAATGTGTTGAGCAGCGGGCTTTTTGTGTGCTGGGCAAAGCCGGCCTGAATTTATTCTCTGGACCTGGGCTGCAAAGCTAGTCTTACGGCAGAAGGCGAAAACACTGGTGTGGCCGATGACTTTGAAGGTCGCGGCAAGTTTGTTGAGGTTTGTTGGTGGAAAAGGTCTGGGGCAAAAGGTCTTTGCAAGGTCACCTTTGCCAGATCGCCAGGTCATCATCATTGCTACCACGGTTGTTATCATCATCTTCATCATCATCGCTATCATCATCGCCATTGCCATCGATATCATCGTGACCATCGTAATTGTCATCATCATCGTTGTCTTCCTCGTCGTCAACATTTCGAGCGGTGGTGTTTTTTGGCGCGCAAGCCTAAATTAAGGGTTTTAGGGTTTAGGGGCAGCCCTTCCGTCGGGTTTGACATACCGAATGCCTGGGAGAGAGGGAGAGAGGGAGAGAGAGAGAGAGAGAGAGAGAGAGAGAGAGAGAGAGAGAGAGAGAGAGAGAGAGAGAGAGAGAGAGAGAGAGAGAGAGAGAGAGAGAGAGAGAGAGGGAGAGGGGGGGGTTTAGTGTTTCCAAAAATCCTACACCCTAATCCCGCAACCGTGGGGAAGGATTTGGGGCTTTAGAAATTTCGGTCTAGGGGGCCCTCAAGTGATCTATTGTCACGGCTTCGGTTTAGGGCTTATGGGCTTCATGCTCAGGGGCCTAGGGCTTTTAAGTCTGTTCGAACTAGGACCCAGAGTAGGCCCTTATTCCCTTTTTTAGGGGTTCAGGTTCCCTTATAACCCCATTTAAACCAAAAAGGGCACCCTTTTTATTCCTAGGTTACTCTTAGGTCTAGTGAAGGTTTGCTCCAGGCACTCATTTAGTTCCCAGCAGAGGCTTATAGGTCACTAACCCAAGTTGCAATGTGTAGTCCCCTTGACGGTTTGAGCATGTTTGAGCCCAGTTAGGGAGCCTTGTGTAGGGGTGTAACCCTGTAGCCCCATAGTTTAGGGCTTATTGGCCTATGTTGGGATCCAGTAAGACAGGTCACAAAATTCTTGAGTGCGCTGCCAGCCAACATGAGGCATACACCCATGTTTCTGCCCCAAAGGCCAGCTTGCTCTTGCCACCATCGCGCTGATGATCCTGCTTGATATATTGTTTTTGATGATGTCGCTTTTGACAAGCCCTGGCGAGCATCATGATGCTGATCGCCGCCAACAGACTGATTCATGAGTAGCACGGACCTTGAGTGTAAGAGCTCTTGTTTCAAGCATCACGCGTTATGTCAATGTCGCAGTAGTTGTTTTTGGTTAGTTCATGAGTGGGTTGCGTTCCGCAACGGATTTCAATATTCAGTGCTCGGCGGAGCCTTCCTTCTAAACTGCTTCAGTGATGCGGAAGCCAGTCGCACGACCCGAAAACTGACACTCCTAAGGGGGTTGTCTTACATGTATTCATGGTTCCGGTTTGGGTTAGGGACAACCCTAAACCCTAAGCCCTAGGCCCCAAAAAGGAGCCCTAACGCAGACCACACCGGCTCCCATCCGTTTCGCGAGAGAGCAGGCTCCGCTTTGACAGCCGATGAGGTGCAAGGCAGCGTGGCACTTTACCCTACACAACATGAGTATAGGTAGTTCTCTAAATTAGGGTCCCGTATTTTGTACCCTAACTAGTAGGATCCTTACTATAAGGACTTCTAATCAAGGTGCTCCTTCTTTTTTCGGAAATCCCATATAAGGGATCAAGGGCTTTTGAATTTAGGGTTGCCTTGTTGGTTCAGGGGGAGGTGCTAAGTCCGCTGAGAGAACAAGCTACTACCATAGCCCGACCCCAACAACACATACTACAAATCAACAAGACGTGATCATGTCAACGCAAGTTCCAAAAGCTGGAAGTTCGTCCCTCCCCTTCCGCCGGAACTCACAGAGCTCGGATAGGGTTTCAGGGCTCGGGCTTGTTTAAGGAAATCTTGGCGTAGGGTTTAGAAGTTAGAAGGGCTAAGGGTTTGAGGGCAGAGTTTGGGTTTTAGGCGGGTTTCGCACAGGCCTGTGGGCAAATAGGAGAAGTGTCAAGTGCGGAAGACCAGAATGTAGCTTTTAGACGAAAGATATTGGGTCTGAGGCTGTGTTTGCAGACGAGTAGTCTGGGTTTTGTTAGCCGTTGGCAGGCTGGTCCCATCGATGGTCCTTCGGCGTAGTCAAGGGATGGTCCTGTCGGTGGTCGGTGATGTCGGTGGCTCCGTCGTTACTTGTGACTGGCCTAAGGAGCTTTTGGCCCTTGCGCGGATTGCCTCACAAAGTCGTGGACTGCTAGTCACTGCTAGTCTTGGTTAGCCAGTTCGGGTAGATCCCGTCAAGAAGGCGCTCATGCTCAGGTGTTCTGTGTATATAAGCATTCATCAATCGGAGCTGTCAGGACCCGAACTGCCCAAGGAAAGAAGCCCCATAACACCGTGTGCCATATGCTCAAAAAGCACCAAACGCCGATATGGGCGGTTGCAGGTGGGAATCTCAACTATGCCTTTGCTGTACGAGATGCTTCCGGCAAAGGCGTTTTCGTCAAGCAAGCGCCGGACTACATCAAGGCTCTTTTCGGGCTAAAGGTTTTGATTTTTCTTGCGTATATTGGTGCATGGTTTGGGGTCTAGGAGACAATCAAGAGTTGGCAACCCCATGAAGCATCAAGCCCGGAGACTTTGTCCCCATGAAACCCTCAACAAACGCAGGCCACACAAAGGCCTCTCGACAGTGCAGAGTCTCCGACCACTAAAAGCAGCGACTGCTGTTCTTCATGCCTACTTCCGGTCCAGCTTCATGAAATCCTTGCCGGTGACGACGACACCCAACCAAGTGCGACGACTACCAAGACCACTGCAACCTACTTGTACGAGGGCCACCACCACAAGAGCAAATGCATGCTGCTGATCGACAGTGGCAACGCTTCTCCATCGTCACTCCCCGCAGCAAGCAAGCCGCGGTAACAGTGCGGGGAAGAACGACCAAGAGCAGTGGAGCAAGAAGCTCACTGCAACAAGATCTACACCGACAACCGCACCCCGAGTAGCCGCAGTGCTTTTCCTGTTTCTTACGCTTGAGGTGCTGGGACCGGATGCGGCCCTCACACGCGAGCGCATGCGACTGGAGGCCCGCCGGGCATTGTGGAGAGCTGCAGGATTCAGGTTTATGAGTTGCGGGTTTAGGAGTTTAGGGCTTTGCCCGTATAAACTTAGGAATCACCTCTCTCTAAGCTGCCATACCGAGGGTGTCCGTTGCTGAGCCACCCGAGCCATGAAGCAGCAAGCCAGCAAGCAAAGAGAAGCTTCAACAGAGCCTAAACCAGGAAGATATCCCAAGGTACAGGTCTATTCGGAGTGGACGTACTACCCTAGACAATACCAAAATAAGGTACCCCGAATTTGATCTCCCAAGGTGCAGGTCTATTCGGAGTGGACGCGAAGCGCCTCGGCCCCGCACTCGAGGCTGACCTCTTCCTTCCCAAGCGCTTTTGGCTCTTCTGCTTCTAAGCCGTTCCGGTGATGCTGGTCATGTTAAGGTTTAAGGTATAATGTAGGAGCCTGCTTAAGAAACCCTGGGCCTAAAATCCCAAGATACTTGGATTCATATAAGGAACCCTAATACAGGCCCGAGGTTTCTTAATCAGGTTCCTACAAACTATAATTATCGTACCCTCATACATAGATCCCTTATAGCAACCCTTAGAGACTCCTTTAAAGGAACCCCTTAGGCTTCAGCTTTCGTGTTCTGGGTCCTTCGAAAGAAGTGGAAGGGGGTTTCTCCTTGTTAGGGTTTAAGGTAAAAGCCAGAAAGTTGGAATATGGTTTCATGGTAGGATACCCTATATTTTGCCATAGAAGGGTTAGGATAATCATATTCCAACTTTCTGGCTTTTACTTTAGGGTTTAGGGGATGCAAGGATCTGGCTAGCCCCAAGCCCAGTGGCAAAAAAGGGCTTAGGGTTTAGGGCAGGTCGGGATTTAAACCAGGAAGCCTGCAGGTCCAGGATTGCAGACTGTCGTCCTAGCTGGCTCTGCGAGAGGCAGAAAACCCTTGAACAATCAACAAACCCTTAAACGCAAGTTCCCTACACCCCCGAAGCCTTAACCGTAACTCCCACACACCCTCAACGCCTAACCCCTATATCCTCCATGCCCTATAGCCCAAAAGCCCCTAAACACCCCCAAAACCGACTCCCATGAGGCCCCGATGCTGCTGCATATTTCCCGCGGGTGTGGAAGCCTCTTGGCTCCCAGATCTGGCATGGGCGAAAGGTTAGGGGTTAGGGTTTAGGGTACAGGGTTTAGAGGTTAGGGTATAGGGTTGAGGGGTTAGGGTTAAGGGGTTAGGGTTCAGGGTGGTGAACTAGGTATGGAATTTTGCAAGGAAAGTATTATGAGGTTCGTTTGCGTTTGCATCTCATCAGGATTACCAGAATCATCATCACCAGCAGCAGCATCATCATTACCATCGTCATCTTCATCATCATCAGCAGCCGCATTATCATCGGGGTCGTCATCGTCTTCTTCTACAGTCGGCCTCCACTGTGTCTTGTCTCATTGGCCCTAAAAACCTAGGTCCCAAATGTCCGAAAAGGGTTGTTGTCTGAAGGTTCGATGAAGACTCCATGGCCTTTATCATGGAGCTCTTGGACAACCACGAGCTTCTGCAGAAGCATTTGTTTCAGGCTTGGTCCTGCTTGGAGGGTTCATATAAGTAGGGGTATAAGTAGGTTATCTATACACTTATAACCCATATTAGGGGACTTATGACCCCATTTATATCTAGGTGGCAATTTGGGAAACTTTTTAATTTCCCTTATGGTTCCTACAGAGATACCTAGTCATAAATACTTTGCAGAGCCCCAAAACTACAACCCAGATATCTACCCCTGAACCTCCAAGTGGTGTTTGGGGTGTACGGGCTAGTCTCGAGGCTTGGGGCTGGAGCCGGCCCATTGTCAAAGTTCTTCTAATCTGATACAGAGGGGATGTGGGAGTTTCCGAAAATTAGGGGTACCTTATCTGGTGTCCTTATAATAAGGATCCTACTCTTTAGGGTACTACATTAGGGTGTATACGGAAACCCCCATGTAGTGAATAGCACAGAGGCTCTACCCTCGGAAAGGCAGCCGGCTTGGATTAGAATCTTCGAAGTCCAACCGCAATACTTCGGGATGGGTGGCCTAAGCCCTACCTGGAGCCCCAATCAAGAGCTTCAATTCAGCAAAGCCTCAAAGGGTGCAGGTAAGAAAAGAACTGCATTCAGACTTCCTGGCGTCCTTGATGTTGGCATGAACATGCCGCGATTCGTATGTCCCTCGACCCTAAACCCTAAACCATGTCAGTTGGACCAGGACGGCTGGGGAAGTGTGCTTGGCGCCGAAGTTTCTCCTGTCAGCTTCGGATATTACTGTCTATCTCCAGGCTTCTCCCTACCTTCACCTACCAAACCCCACTTCTCGTAGGTTCTAATTATAAACCTTAATATGTATTTACAAAAAAGTAGGTTTTGGTAGGCTAAGGTAAGTCCTAAAACACTCTTCAGCGGTTTCCTCTTCTGGGCATGGAGGTTCCGACGCCTTGGAGCTTCATGTGCTGAAGGTATTGTCAGACTTTTCATCCTGACCCATCCAGGACCTCCACTTCAAGGATAATACGTTGCCGGGTTTGGGATACCCTCATTGGGATACCCTCATTGACGGCCAAACAGAAACAAGAGTATGCATATCCACAAGCAGCAGGGAAGTTGACCCAGCGCAACCAAAGCTTCTAAACCCCTGCAAAACCGTAAAACCAACAAACCCTGGTTTCAAAAAGAACATAGAATCCCAAAGGGTCCAAAGTACCTGTATAGTAAATGTAGGGTTTCCATATTAGGAATTATCATTATGATTTGGGGAAGTATCCCCCATAACAGTACCTAGGACCCTTTGGGAATGTTGAAAAGGAAGGCTAACATCCGGGCCTGCGCGCGCGCCGTGCAGGGCCATGTTGTAGAGGCTGCGGCGAGATCTTTGGGCGATTGAGTCTCGAATGCGATTAGCTAAGAGTAGAGGGGGTTCAGGGCTTCGAGATGAAGTTCGGTAGTACTTCGGCGTCGCGCTGTGTCAGGAGGTGGGACTGGAAAAACGCAGGCGCAGGAGAATCCGAATTCATGTAATTGCGAGATGCTTCTGCTAAGGCTGCACACATCCGAAACCCCTGGTGCGATTGAAAGCCGACACTGAGAACCCCACACCCGCCAAGCCGAGGCATGGCACAGATGCATAGCAGGAGCCACCTGCGCGAAAGGTGCTGTTACTAAATAGCAGAAGCCGGGTCTAGCTTGGACCTCACATCCTCCTGCGGAAGTAGAAAGATAGGTGTTGAGAACGCAGATCGAGCGAAGGTTCAGTTGTTAGGGAGTGCCTGAGAACAAGAGGAGATTGATATGGTGTCTCTGTCTGGGATAGTTTAGCCAAATTTCTGCACATGAAGGGTTACAGTCTCTTAGGGCTCAGGGGCCACCGAAGCCTGTTAAGGCAAGTCGAGGTCGGTATACCATTGCGACACACCTTCGTTTTCTGAGATCAGAAGAGAGGAGAGGCGTCATCCTAAACCCTAAACTTCCCTATCGGGCATATCATCAGAAACCCCAAAATTGTCGAGAAGCTGATGGCTCAGAGTTCCAAGACTGAGGGTTCAGGTTTCAGGGTTGCGAAACCCAGTACTCAGAGGCTCAAAACCCCTTGTAAGGCTGTAGAACAACACTCACTAAGCCAAAAGGCCCTCAACCCAAAGCCCGTAAGTACCAGGACTCACTGCTCAAAGATTTCTGGCGAAGAGTGCCAGCGCCTCTCCAAAGCCTACGAGAACCGCCTCTCGAATGGCTATTTCATGGGTTCCTTTAAGGGCTCCTTTGATGCTTCCTTTAAGGGTCCTTTAAGGATCCCTTTGAGGCTTCAAGGCTCCTTCAAGGCTTTAGCGCTTAGAGTTCAGGAAAGGTTCTTCAGCTGCAGGCCCCAACACACGCCCGAAGAGATCCCCCCCCCCGCCCCGAAGCTCTTCCTACAGTCGTAGTTCCCCTTCGGGGTTCCCTCATGGGAAACCGAATAGCAGGTTGGTTTAACCAAAAATGCAATTATTCCGGAGGCTTGATGCGCGACATTCAGCTGGAGCCTCCCGGCGCAAAGTACCGGAGCTGATGCTGAGCCATGGTCCATGGCCTCCTTGGGCATCTTCTCAAGGGCATTCAGGATTTATTTCTAGCCGACAAGACCTACCTTTTTAAGGAATTCTATACAGAAACCATAATAAGAAGCCCTAAAAAGGGTAGGTCGTTCCGGCTGCAGGCAGGGTTTAGGGGCTTAGGGTTTAGGGATTAGATCTGCGAAGCTTCGAACAGACGCTCACTATAGGGGCCTAAATAACTTTTTGGGGGGTTCCTTACTATAACTGTAGTGTAATGGGCCGCAAAACCCTATTTCAATTATTAAGGCGCCACTAAGTCACGCAGATCGAAACGTCGGGCCCAAGATCCCAAGTCCCTGGCAAGCCCAGGTGAAGTACTAGCCGAGAAGCGTTGGAACTTGGCCCATCTTGCCTCACACTAAGTGCCCAAGCCTGAAGAATTGCAGTTATAGGGTAAAAGTGGAGGAGTAACAGTTTAACAAGAAGAAGAATAAAAACAGTAACGCCCTACTTTCTGAACCTCAGAGGCCTGAGAGCTGGCCTTCACCCTGGACCTCCAGCGCAGAAGGGAGCCCCTGTAAGTGCTTTGAACCTATCGTTCTAATACAGAGGCCTAAGTATTTGCCAGTACTATTTTGGGGGCTCCTCATTATAAACATACTATCCTAGACCCCCCAAACCCTATTGAAACTATTGAGGCTCCTATAGTAAGGTCTGGGGATTTCTTGAACCCTTGGAAGGTTCGACTTAGCCGAATATCCCAGTATTCCATTACCAGATCACCATAAAACCTCTGGGGCAGTGCTTGGCCCAGGTTTGTTTTCTCCAAGTGCTACCGAGAAGATGAGCGAGCAGAGCCTGGCTTGTCGAGCATTTGGGGGAGACGTTGGATTTCCATCGTAGAATCTACATACATCCACACACAAACGTACATACTTACTTACGTACTTGCATACTTGCATACTTACATACTTACATACTTACATACATACATACATATGCATCTTGGCCCGTGCGTGTGGACCGCGTCTTTGTAAGGATGGTTGCATGTCCACATTTACATATTCCCAGAGTAGGCATGGCTGTATGCATGAATGTATGTGCGCATGTGCGTGTCGTAACCTTGGTAAACGCCACACCTGCAAGTACATTGGCGATTGAGATACTTGCGATGACCATAGCCGGGCAAGCGGGACTTCCGCGCACTGAGGGCTTGGGGGGAACAAGAAGGCGTAGGCCGTTCAGAAGTTCAATGCAAGTGAGCCTGGTGGTACAGGGCCTATAGGGCCAGCAAGTTTGGGCGAGGAATTTTGGGATTAGATCTGGTTTTGGAAACTTCGTTGGACCTTGAAGGCTTCATGGTTGAATGATTTCAGCCTTCTTGGGGCTGTGCATCCTTGGACTTTGACGTGTGATTTAGTACGATACCTGGCTGATGCTTATTTGTTGTAGCCTATGACTACGTGAGCTTCGGAGTTCAGGTTGCTTGGATCTTGGAATGGTGGGATGGCTACACAAGTCGGTCGCTATGTGTGGCAGCAAGGGTCGAGAGAATGAAATGCCGCAAAGTATTCGATTTCTATAATATTAGATTTGGGGAATCGGCAAAGACACCACCAAGTACTTCCCTCGGGTCCCCATCATAATGTAAGCATTCTAGACAACTTTTTTTTTTCATCACGGACTCCGAGAGAAAACAAACCACGAGAAGGTTACAAAACCGAGAAGAAGCAGTAGTAGCAGGCGCTGTTGCGGACGTCGTAGTAATTGCGCCGGCTATACCAACATACCATGAAAAGAATGGTCGCGTAGGTTTTGGAGCCAGCAGCCAGCACGACTTGCAACATAAAGGATTTGCAAGTACTTCCACTGCAGCGCCGGCACCAATGGCATCATTGCTTTCATCCCTGACATGCCAGCTACAGATACCCCAAAGGCTAAGCTTTCGTGGCTAAGGAGCACCTGCGCAGCGACGCATCTTTCATGTCGCTCCTGGAAACAATCAAGGACGCCAGCCACATGCAACTTCCATGAATTACACACGTGATGAGCACCTGCAGTCATCATGAAACTGTTTGCACCATTGTCATTGTCTATGATCGCGCTTGTCCTCGTCATGTCCACGTTAATCGGAGGTAGCTTTTCTCCAGTCAGCGTAGCTTGTGCTGCCCTGCTCTTGTGTCCCTGAGATCCGAAATCCTGCCGCAGCCCAGAGGAAATCTACAATGGGAAGAACACCGGCAACTTGGCGGTCTGTCATGGCGACCTTCATGCCGGGAGCATCATGGCCACTTCAACGCACCAAGATCGATGGGTTTCTGGCTTCCGGGAGGGTGTGCTATGTTTTGCCTGAGAGTCCCCGCGACTACACATCCCTTTGGTGGGTATCACCCTGGCACCAAGCCCTGATGCCTATCCCCAATCCCGAAACCTTAATCCCTATACCCTGAGCCCGAATCCCGAAAACTCTAATCCCTGATCCCTACATAGCATTGGGGACTTAGGGCATGAGCTTCAGGTGTTGAAGCTGCAGGGCTGAGGGTCGAAGGTCGCAGAGCTATCGGATCTGCCTTCGCGTCTCCTCGATGTGTATATGGGTGGTGGTCAAAACTAGGGTCCCGTTTTGGGTCCTGATTATTATAATACTGATCAAGTATATAGTATATGTATGATAGGAATAAACCTCGATATGTGTGTACAGGTGCACAGGCAAGGGTGCACACAGACACGCGCACACACACACACACACACCGAGACACAAATGCGCATGTGTAGATGTGTCTGCATGTATGTATGTACGTATGCATGCATGTATGTAACTACGTATGGCTGGACTGATGCATGTATGTCAATCAATGCCTGTATGTAAGTAAGTATGTACCTATGTATGGACGCACTTCATGCATCCATGCATCCGTTTATGCCTCCCTCCATCATCCATCCATCTATACAGCCATATGTAGAAATATACTTGTGTACTTGCATGCATTAGGTGCAGTAACTGTACACATACATTGCATGAGTTTCATGCAAGCAAGATGTGTAATTACATTGCCTACAATTACATACACAGCACTAGTTACATCGAATATGCTGCATGCAATACTTACGCCCGTTGCGCACATTGCATGCAGTACTCTGCGTTGCCTTACGTTACACAGCAGTGCAATACGTACCGTTACGAACATACAAACGCACAAGCGCGCATGCTCGCTCAAAGCCGTACATATATGCATAGAGTACACATCCGTACGTACATACATGCAGACATGCAAGCATGCATGCATGCATACATACTTACATGCGTACATATGTACAGACGTGCATGCATGCAAGACAAGGTTCACTTGCGATATTCAAGTACGGCATGCATATGGTCTGTAAGCGCATATGTTTATGGCAAGATAATCAAGATAATTGTAGAGCAAATTTGGTTTGGTGAGCCCAATTGCAGGTTGGTGGCGAATCAGCAGCCGCCGCTGGACTGAACAGGACCCAAACCAGCCAATCCCGAGCCAAAAGAATCGTAAGTATGTTATTTTCATGGGCAACTGAGCTTATGCTCCGGCCTCGTAAGCTTCTGCCACCAGTACAGGCTGGAAGCTCCACGCATGCTTAAGACATTCACTCAGACCTCGGAACGATGGGTTTAGCATCTCCGACGGTCAGAATCTATCTCCCAAGTTGGGGAGATCTGAGAGTTGATATATTGTAACTGTAGTGATCAGTAGGGTTGCAAGTGGGACAACTGTTCTTTTGACCCATGTCACTGGAGTTGTACAACCCCACGTATAACAACCCATAAACCTCCAAGTACGTAGTTCTGAACGGAGGACCTCGCCTGGCGGAGTCCGAGTTGCGAGTGTGGAAACCCTCAACCAAAGCCCCTACTATAGGGGCAGTTGAAGACTTACCTATGATAATTTTGGTGGGCCCTTATCATAACTACAGTAATGGGCCCCAACGCCCTATTCGAACTACCAAAGCCCCAGGTGAGGATACTTGAACTAATAGACCCGAAGCCCTAAATCCTAGGGACGAAAGTTAACAAGCCCTGAACCCTAAACTCTAATCCCGAGGTGAAGATCATTGAAACTAACAAACCCCTAACGCGCAAACCTTAAACTACAGCCTCTAGGCTAAACGCATAAAGCCTAAACCCTAAACCCAATAAACTCTAAAGCCCCAGGTGAAGATCATTGATCCTAGTCCTAGTAGACCCTAAACCCTACATCCTAAACTAATAAACCCAAAACCCTAAACTCTAAACCCCAGGTGAAGATCAAAAAGGCACTTCAAAAAGAACAACTTTCATCCCGAAATAAAGATCATTGATCCTCATAGACCCTAAACTCATAAAGCCTAAACCCTAAACCCAATAAACTCTAAAGCCGAAGGTGAAGATCATTGATCCCGAGTTCGCCATCTTCGGCCCCCCTGGATTAGACGTGGGCTCCTTGCTCTCCACCTATGCTTTGGCCTACTGAAGCTCGGCCTGGTAACGGGGCTTCCTTTAAAGGGATTTCTACTGTAGGGTTCTATAAGGGGTCCCTTTTAAAGGGATCTCTAGGGGTTCGATAAGGGGTCCCTTTAAAAGGGACCTCCAGAGGTTCTACAAGGGTCCCTTGAAAGGGATCTCTAGGGGTTCTATAAGGGGTTCCTTTGAAGGGATCCATCGGGGTTCTATGAGGGTTCCTTCCAAGACTACTTTGGGGGGTTGACGGTCGGGGGTTGTAGGGCCACCCGGCAGTCGCAATGGGCCTGGATGAAAAAAGGTTTAGGCTCAAAAGCTTCGTTGAAGGGTTGAATTGTTTAGGGTCGGGGGTTTTAGGGTTTATGGGCTTGAAATTAAGGTTCGACCTCATTGGAGGGTTTGGGGGTTGGGGTACCCTAAACCCAAAACCCTAAACCCTAAAACGTTAGAGGTTGAATCCCTGGAACGAGCTGCTTCCCCTGAACCCTAAACCCTGAAACCTAAGCCCTAAACCCCTAAAACCATGCATGGAGAATGAAGAATGAGAGTTCTGCTGGTAAACCGAAGACGCACGACTTAGCCCCCATGAACACCCCAATTCCTGAACTCCGAGCGCAGTAAGCCCTGCGAAGTGTGGAGGCTACCACAGCGCCCTGAAGAACACTTGTAAGGAGGAGTCCACTCTGCGGCAGGGATATTATGCCTGGTCAGGGATATCATGCCTGGCAACAGCTAAGAGGATTCCATTCTCTTGTAGATACACGCACATAGCGAAACCGCTGTGTATTGCGTCGCAGCTGACAGGTAACTGAGTCCGTGTGAGAGATAGAGAGGGTTTCGATTTTTGGGGAGTTGGGCCAAAAGCATCAGAAGGTTCCTGTTTTAAACAGGGGCTGTTGGGCTCGTTCCAGAATTCTACCGAGGCGAACCCCCTCTCCCAAGGTATGCCCCTCTTCGACTCTCGCCGCGGTTCCCGAGCAGGAAGGCAATATTAAATAACAGGGGTTTCTCGAGCACTTCTGTTTCACAACTCCAAACAGCCCACACTATGCTAAGTGCATCTTGGATCCGAAATGTGTAAAGCTTACTCTGCACACTGCATTGAATATGCCAGCAAAAGCGTCTCAGTCTCTTTAAAAAGCGGATCCATTTCTCGATCCTCACCTGCAGTAGCTTACGGCCAGCACCCCCATCACCCACGGTTTCGGCACCCGCAGTTTCACTGCCTCTCATACTTGTGCCTATCGTGATTGATTCAGAACCACCGCGAGAGCAATGAAACGGGTCCTGAGTTGCTAAGTTGTCTGCGCAGGGTTTAGGTGCATCAGGTTACAGGGTGATCGTCAAGCATGCTTTTGAAGATCCCCATATGGGAGTTTCCGAAAATAGTGGTACCATATGTTGTAGTCCTTATAATAAGGATCCTACCATTTAGGGTACCATATTAGGGTCCTCTATTTTTCGGAAACTCCCATATAATTAAAGCTCACAGGTAGGACTCCGGGCCTTGGTGCGCAAACGAGTCTTGCAGACGTCCCTGGCAGTCCCCCAACTTAGCATGCTTACCTAGCGAAGCAGCTCCCCTAATCGCTGAGCCCTAAGCGCGAAACCCGAGAGCGGAATTTATGAGAGCCCCTGAAACAAAACAGCGCGTGGAGGAGCTTCTGAGCGCCATGCAAGTGATTTGGGAGACCTACCTGGGAGCGATGAAGGCCCCGAGACACCAGCAAGTAGATGGGAATTTCAGAGAAGGGGCGAACTTCAACTGGCGAAGGCCAATTGCCGTACAACGCTTGAGACAGATGTGACGCATAGAAGTTGCACGGGCATCGAGCCCATAGGAAGCTGTGAGCGTGTTTCATCTCGTGCCTGCTTATGCCTGCTCTAGCAACGTTTGAACCGGATCCACCCAATAGTTTTGGTGAGAGTTTCGCTTTTCGTTGCGATACACCCATTAAGATCGTGCTGTGTAAGAGTAGCTATAGTCGACATGGTAGCCGTCGCCGTCCTGACATGGATGTTCCGGAACGTAGGAGGTGACTGCTGCTGCTGCTGATGATGATGATGATAAATATCCTGGTGGGGTGGCATGAACACAATCATATGTATTGATGGGGAAAGGTGCCTACCGAGCTGCCACTCGCCATGAAAGCCCGGAGTTCGAGTTGTGCGGCGTGCGAACCTTTCTTTGACGGCTGGAACAACATAACCGTATTTCGGAGGTCATACAAGGATTAGGATTGACATTGTTGTTGTTGTTGTGTAGAACCATACTCCAGACCTCGTGCAAAAGAGTACAGCGCTGAAGTGCAGCGATCGGCGCATTGCACTTGCCAGATGCCTTCCGTGCGTTTTTGTGGGTTTCCAGGTACCGATGTGGGAAAGTGGTATCTGTGTTCATCTTTCTTCTTGTTGTAGTATCGAGCCTTAGCTGTAACTATTTTGGGGGCTGGTGAAGTCGACCCAAGGGTTTTCCGTTTTGATGCCGCAGCCGCTCTATCCCCAATCCTGTCTCAGGCTGCGGGCATTGCAGACGACTTATTGAAGATGCTTAGCCGCATCGCAGCCTGTGTGCTGCCACGGCTTCAGACCCTTGTGTTGTTTGCATAGTTCTGCTTCGGGGTCAGAGGCTTAAGGGCTGGGGCTTTCGAACATCCCCGGTTCTGCTCAGCCAGATAGACCACGTCAAGATCCTTCAGGCAAAGATACCCTACTCTTTGCCACTGCTACGACTATCTGCCACTTGTACAGCTACTGCCATGTTCTTGCACAGTACCGCCACTAGTTTTGTAGAAGTATGGTGACTGCTGTGTTGTCTGTTGGTCTTGTTGTCACCGTTGGCCGTAATGTCACTTTTCTGTGCGGTGTTCATGCAAGCC